CCGGAACGAGGTCCGTAAAATAACAGTGTGCGCTTGCATCATTATCTCGCAGACTCCCGACCCGAAAGCACATTGTAGGAACCTTACATGTTTAGGAACCCGGTAAGCTGTCTGCTGAACCACTAAACAAATTAATTAACATAGCATACACGTAATAGTTTCATTTCCGCAACATAGTCGCACGCGAATCACATCCTCTCGGTAAAAAGAAAAACAGGGCTGCCCACTAAACACGTGTTGGTTTTTTTCTTTCACCACTAAGTCACGTCGCAAATAAGGCCACCTTGTACGCTTCTTCAATTCCATAAATATATATATTTGTTCTAACACCACAATACGAAGGTTCCCTGGGCAGTCCTGAGCGAAACCCCAGCTATAAATAAACAACCCCGTTACAAGATATCTGGGAGTGCAATTGGATATAAAACTAACATTCGCGGAACATATTAAGGAGATTTCGGATAAAGCGTTGTCAACAGAAACAGACTTTTTATATCCCTGTAAGTAGAAATTATGCCAGACAACCTGCTAGCGATCATGTTAATGAACGCCAGTTTTTTGCAAGATACGCTTCGATATAAAGCCACGCGAAAGTGACACCCGAACCCGTAATCTGACTTTATAGAAGCTCTGAAGATTCTTTCAAGTGTTGCAAACATTATGATAAAGTTAGTACAGTCCTCATCCTTCAGCGATGGGTATTAAAAGTGAAATTAAATGGTTTAGAAATGTTACAAAAGTGTTACGACGAAGAGTGTTTATCAAAATCACAAATTTTTAATCGGCGCATATCATTTAATGAGGATTGTGGGCTAGTCGAAGACAAACCTCAACAGCCACCAAAGCGAGAAGCTTGTGCTTGCCAGCCGTCCGTTTCCTATGAAATTTGCGTTTATTCTTATAACCCGGAAACAGCTTAACAATCTAGTGAATAAGGTGCCATAAATGAACCAAAAATAAATAAAAAAAACACTGCTATTACTAACCCAAGAGGGCGCGTGTTTAGCAATTTATGTCAGCTGTTCACAACCGTCATACCCATCTACCAAAAAAATATTCGCATCGATATCGTAGAGCGGACATTTCAAAAAAATGTAGTGTCATTACTTTTCACAGTAATATAAACAAATTAACCAAAAATGTTACAAGTGATTGCGGGATTTAAAACGAAGATAAAAAAACACAGAAACTCGAAACTAAAAAAGGTGAGAAGTTAAAAAGTTATCTAACTTAATTTCTTAGGTTGCTACACATTAGTACAGTAAGACAATCGATTTGTTCATTCGCTTCATACTTCAATATAGATCAAAAATTGTCCTCCGCTATGCTTGTCAAAAGGAGAATTTAATACCATTCGGGTTAATCTTTGTTTTAACGTGCATTGTTTCCTGTGCTTGCTTAAAAAAGTTGAATGATGGCAGTGTGTGTGTATGAGATAGTTTTTGTTTCTGTTGCGCAGGTGTTTTCTATTTGCAGTCTCTTGGAATGTCATTTTTTATAACGCATATGATATACGGTGGAAACAGCCCATGTCACATATTCTAGTATATTATGTTAAGTTCTTCAGTTACTTGCCTAAATGCTAGCTACGTTGGTTTTTCGTTAGAGCAGAAAGATTTAACGCTTAAACGTATTTTAACTGAAGTTTTATAAAACTACTAACAAACGCTCCCAACCGAGAACAAATGTGACTTTGATTCTTAATTAGAATTTAATTGTGCGCAAATTAATTACGTAAAATTGAATCCTATAAAGGAAAAATTTCAAGTTCGTACTGTTGTAGTATCACTCTGCTGAAGTTAGATCTTCCATAGTCATCATATATTTAAGTTCCTTATAAATTTTGGGTCTCTAACTCAATTTAGATTTTTGATTAAATCAAGTTTTTTATGTAACCTTAAAAGGTCGTTGCTAGTTCTAGTTTTGCAACGTTACAAAACCATAGTTGGCCGCCACATCGGAAATAACCGTTTGTGTAACCAACAATATCAAATAAACAATTCGTAGGAAAGCCCGTCAAATTCAAATAAACTGAATGGTGTCGGGAAATTCTTTAAAAAAATCTTACGGGAATACAATCTTGTATAAATTTTAATAATGAAATAATTCACTTTTGAAGAAATCTACTCTTTCTATTTTTTTAAATAAAAAATGTTTTCAATATTGGAAAATAGTTATCTTACAAATCCGGCAAATTTGCAAAAATACTCTTCAAACTATCCAAGAAAAATAGTTTCAGGCCCTTGGTTTTGTATATTACGAAACTTCTTTCAAATTCAAAATGCAACAACAAACCCACGACCAACCCTAACGTAGTCTAATTTGCATCAAAAACGCTTAGGCCGCAGAATTCCTTAAATTAAACATGTCCCACAAGAATCGCTCCAGTGCTAGCATATTTTTATACTTAGTTATTTCTGCGAATATTATTACCCTGTCATCTTTCTTTCTACCTCAAAAAAGTTTTCAAAAGACAAATGTTTTTGTAAGCTCTTATAATGGTTTCCCCCTCTTAATTCGTTTAGTTTGGTCGCTTGCAGAAAAAGCCGAACAACAAGTGAAATTAAAACACTCGATCTTGTGCTAAACGAATTCAAAGGCTAAAGTCAGTGTTGCGGGTTGAAATCTCAGTTTAGTTTGATCGTAGTTATAGAAACCTAGGTATTGTGGATGGAGTTTGTGGATATAACAATTATTGTGGATGGCAAAAATTGTTGAGTTTTTTTTTGTAAACAATGTAAAAGAAAAAAACCGCTAACGGATTTCAGAGAGAAATCAAAGCAAGTGTTTCGACAAGTTGCCTTAGGAATACTTATTATTAATTTTTTAATTGAGCCTAACAGTTGCTATGAGACGTAAACAAAAAATTGAACAGTCACGTTCAGGTAAGCAAAAGTTGCAACAACAAAATGTATTGTGAATATTTACAGAATTAAAAAACGCATATACAGAGCTAAAGGGACATATTTATATGTGTATAAATAAAAAGTGTTTCTTTCCCTCTGTTAGTTTCCAATCTCAAAGCTTTTTAACATAAAGTTTAAACCTTTTTCTTAATGAAGTTCATCAGCATAAATAATTATACGACCACTCCGATCAAAAGCTTAACTATCTAAAAAAGCACTTGTGTATGGGTTTCGGCTTGGACATCTATCTGTGATATAGGCCATCTATATGTCAAAATATTTTACAAATGAAAGCGTCCGTTAATCAAATAAACGGACATAAGGTAATACTGTTTAAATTGGCTCGAACAGTATTTTAAACTAAATGTTTGTGTTGGCAGCTCTCCAGCCACCCTTCCGTTTGATTTGTGTCAAAAATTCCTTTTACGCATAAAAAAATTAAAATGCCCTTTCCGCCTTTTAAACACCGAAAAAAAAAAATATATATTAAAACCAAAATTTGTATTATTTTCAAACAACTGATTAACTGCAAGACTAATCGGAAAATGAAGGAAAACCATATAAATAAACATGGAGAGCAAGTAGTTTTTCTTTATTTGAATTGAATACACGTGTAATTTAGAAGAATATATATTTCATTTTATTCTACAACTTTAGTTTTACTAAATGATTTAATAAAGGCTTCATTAGTTTTATAGGTATCTAACCCAGCTGATCTAAAGCCCTGCACACGATAGTTTTACCTCATATGATTTAGCAGATGTGTGAAAAAGAATATAGTGCAAGGGATGAGGGAAAATAAATTAATTCTGGTAACGTTTACTCGGATAATTCCGAAGTTAATTTGTTGAGACCGAAGTGTTTACTTTTTGTATTAAATTTGATCAGTTCCTTTGATAAGCGACCAAAAATTAGCAACCATAACTTTTTTAATGCACTTAAGTTAATTTTCTGATGATGATATAAACGGCGGTATAAACACTGTACTAGTGACAGCCAATGTCGGAAGTGTTTGCAAAGATTGGAAGAAGTAACTCGAACTTTATTAGATATGCAACCGTATTTAGCTGATCATTTTGTAATCACATTGATGAATACTATATGTAAATTCTTTTTTTTTTTTTTATATCACCAATCACTCAGGAGAATCAAGAGACAATACAGTGACGGTTCAAAAGAAGCTGAGCATAGCTACGACCGAATTGAAGTTAATTTAAGTTATTTTCAGTGCTTGCATTTTCCTACATTAGGAGCAGTCGATGAGTTCAATGTCTTCTCTTATAACTTCCATTTTGCAAAGCAAACAATTAAATTAAAGGTTTTATTTAGTGAACGAGCATTTTAAAAAAGCGCTGAGTTTAAAGCAGAACATTCATTATTTCCTTCTCTCTAGTTAAACCTCATTTTCAATTGCCTATGGTGGGAAATATACAATTTTTGTGAATTAAATGCTTGATTTAAATACAGTATGAAATTTCAGATTATTGTTTTTTATAAGGAGCAACCACTATACGTTAAGTTAATTGAAACTTTAGATTGAAATCTGAAAATATATGTAAAATTTTTGAAATATTTCTCTTCTACAAGTATTATTTTTGTAATACCCTTAGAAAATGAATATATTCCTTATGCTATTAAATCGTTACAATGAAAATTTTACAAAAAAATCATAATAAACCTACCTCGATATTTTCATCCAATGATGAACCTACTAATCTCTGAAACGTTAAAGAAACTAACTTCATATTCGATTTTTTATTTTGATTTACCAAAATTGTTCTGCTTTACAATTTTGAACCTATATATATCAATGTCCTGGATACCACAATTACCATAGATTACATAATTCGAAAGCAATTCACGTCTTGTATTATATTAAATATTAACACCAAGAAACCAACATTTCAAATTCCAAAATTTCTCATTTATTCGTTGCTTTTACTGCTCATACCAAAACATAATGCAACATCATTTACTAAATTAATCAATTTTTACATTTTTAATTTAATTTTATCTTTTATTTTTCTTTTTTAAGTGCAACGAATCAAAGAATTTAATTCTTTTATAGATATTTGTTTCGTTTTGTAATACTTTAAAAATAAATTGGTTGGCAACCCTAATCAAAATTCCACAAGTTACGCAAACATATGTTTTATCTATCTTCACTTGTAAAACCAATTTTCTGAAATTTTACTAAAAAGAATTTTACGTTTACTTACCTTTCCATTTATATACACAATGTATTTCTTAATATAAAAAAATTTTTATACTTACGATGTATTTATGAAACGGCTAATTTTTGCTAATTACATTTTTAAGGTATAAATGTTAAAATCTCATCACTTGTGCTGTTGCTTTACGTCTCTACACTTTTCTTATGTAAACCATATTGTACACGACGTCATAAAAATATATATGTAAGTATATATACGCTTTGTAGCTTCATTTATACGTACCCTCTGCCCCTCTGCTAAATAGATAGCAAACAGTCAAAGCGATCAAACCGACTACGCAGTACAAGGGTAACAAAGCAACTATTAGAATTTAAACGAAACTCACCCGTATTTAAGCATTTACTTGAAGGCCGATAACACGAAGTGATATTCACGGCGAATTCATTTATCTATTTTGCTTTCGCCTTGAGTGCGATTCACTTTTGCTTACGCACGTTGACGTTCATGTTGCTGTCTCAGTCTCAGTCCTAAGTCCATATGTACCTAGAGTTACGCGACGAGTAAAACTAAAAATGCTTGACAACATCATTGCCTCAGTAAAACGGTTTAGTTGATTTTCGTTATTCTTACTGAACTACTAAAACGTGAATCACAAAAAGTTATTATTTTTTATTGCAGTTATATAAAAAAAAGGTTATTAAATCATCGTTAGCAAAAAAAAAACCAACTGCAGCGAGAAAGGAAATATGTTAAAGCAAAGCAATTTTTTAGTCTTGCTAAATTTATTAATGTATCATGCAAATAAAACTTGTTAGATTACATAGCTACACAAGGATTTTTTTGGTTTTATAATTTTCCTTTACTTTTTATAATTAATGCTTACGCACATATGTGCCTATGACCCAAGTGCACACTGTTCAATACTCAAAAAAAATATACATATTGAAATTAAAGGTAAGTAAGAACTTTTAACTTTAGAATATTATCCATACTTTTGGATGATAAGTGCTTTGCATATATTAAACAACGTGAGTTTTTCTCCTTTGTTCATGTCTACCATATTTGTTTTTTTTTTCGTTTTTTTTTTATTCGTAACTAGTATACATACAAAGTTCTTTAATGACTGTTTTTGCAATTGTTTTTATTTGTGTGCCCTACCCAGTAGTTTTTAATGTGTTGTATATGCATACAAACCTAAATTATCTGAAGTAAGTCAAAAAAAAGAAATAAAAGCGAAACGAGCTTTTTTTTTTTGCGTTGCAAAAGCTTTCAAATAAAACAAGTCTAATCAAGTATCTGAGGAATTTTAAGTCGAAAGTGAAGTAAATTAATTGTTTTTTATAATTTTCCTCAAGACTCCAAAGAAATGGTTTTCCAATAATAATTGAGGGTAAGTACACTAAAATTTATTTCATTTATAGTTATATTAGGGGAAAACGTATAAAATATAAATGAAAGTCACGATTTCCACTTTGTTGCAAAACCTAAAGAAAGTGTTCTATTGATTGTGGTATTGATTTAGCACAGCTTTTTTAAATTCTCAAAGTGATTTTTACTCTCGTTTTTATGGTTCTTTTCTTCTTAATTACATGTGAAGTAATTAAGAAAAATTAAGCCGTCCAGCGCCAAGGATAAACAAAATGAAAAAAAAAGTAGACAAACAACATTGGTTGTTGGTAAGAATTATGTTGTATTCCGGGAACCTCGGATGATAATTTTGAGTACGTGCTATTAACGAAATGAATAAAAAGTGTTTGGTCTAGGGCTTTCCTCAGTCTATCACTATGCGTTTTATCACATTAAGTAAAAATATATAATGAAATGTCTTTCTAACACATATTTACTAAAATATCAGTAGTTTTGTTATTCCGATTCCACTATGGGGTAGGTTTTTGGGAAATGTTCTTTCGTCGAAATACTTTATTGCTCCTCGATTTAGCGACAAGAATATATTTTCTAAGTTAAGCCAACTATAAGATCTAAGGTACGAGAGGGATTAGACATGTGGAATATCATATGCAGCCTTTTTTACGCTATCAAAGTTTGATTTGTATAAGGCCCTCACGATTCTAAACTCTTCTGAACAACGGTTACTATCTGTTTTATATTGTATTTAAGAAAGATCGGTAAATTCCTTCGCCCTTAGTATAGCGTTTTCATGAACATAATTTGAACAATGGCTCGATTTTTTGTGCAGCACTCGAGCTTTCTTATGGAAAAGTCAAAATATGCTGCATATAACAAGCTTTTAAATTGTAATGTTGTAATGTTATGAAATTTGGACTCATCTAAAAGTTGGTACTATCTAAAAATGATATAAATTCGTTTGTTAATAGTCATCCTACGAAATTTTGAGTGCTTTGCTATCTCAGCTGATATATAAGACGCTATTTAATCCAATCGCTTAAAAAGAATTGCCTTGTACAATTTAAAATGTCAAGATCATCTAACCGTAAAATTTATATTATGAAGTGAATTCTCAAAACCGAGATAAACATTTGTATATTCAGTTTTTAGGCACGTTTTTCGTCACGATTAGATTTTTGAATCCATTGAATTGAAAATAAGCATTCATGTGAAATTTGAAAAACGACTTGAAGTTGAGTTGAAAACTAATTTTTTTTTGCGCAATAAAAAACTATGTGTTGTATAAACCTGCAACGTATGTTAAGACTTGGCACAATAAATGGAAATTATACGGTTTACGAAGTGGTAGTAAATAACTAACATTCGGCATAATTCTTTCCATTCTCCATTTAAATTGAAAACGATTTGGAACTGTTCTGCAAATCAATATATTGCCCGAATTTTTCCGAAATATTCGACCTTTCAATCTTTTCAATGTTATCGTATAAATCTCTAATTATAGGGTTTACTGGGTTTATCCTCCCTTTGTGACACCTACAGGCAGGCGTCAATGAACCGATAATGAAATTCGGCTCTTGTTTAGCATAAGAATCTGTTGATTCTATGAACGCATTCATCTGTCATCCAAAATCAAAAGTATTGAAATAAGAACTTGAAACTTATCACACCTATTCCTACTCAGCGGCTACATATCAGACAGATTCACAACGATATTAAAATCCTCCCCGTGATCATGCCAGCACCAGACCAAGAATTTTAACTTATAATCCGTAACGGATTGAAAACTTCGTGAAAATATATTCTACGGCCAGTTGAAATTTCGTAACAAAAATTTGCATACCCTTTGGTAAGTCTACAATCACCCTCTAAATAAAGCAAATAAATTGTTACTTAAAATCCACAGCAGAGATTGATCTTAACATCTTACGTAAACATCTTACAAGATCATCTAAGCGTCGATGTAATCGGTTAACTACGATATGCACAACTAACAGAACTGCCTTTCCTGCTTATTCGAGTAGGTACGTAGTAGTATCAAAAACTTGCCTCAAGACGAACAAAATTCTGTTACTTGTTTGAAGTTTCTAACATTTTAAACATCTTACCACTTGTTCGCGACTTTATGGTCGATAGAGTTAAATGGTTGCACTTGGTGTCTAGTGAGTCTAAGATTGCCCCTTATAGGTGAAAAATTTTAATCGCTCTCTCTCGCACCTGAGTATACCCACCCTAGTATAAAGTGTGTTTGAGACATCATCTCATTCATTATCTCAGTAAATAAACAAGGAGCGAAACGTACGAAGTCAACTTCGTAATGAGTTCGCATTTGAAAATATTTTTCAAGTCCTATAACAGTTTCCAACATAATGAAAAGTATAAATATTTTCCGGCTATGTTGTCGTTGGCTGTTATTTGTGGAATCGGAATAGTTTTTACCTATCCCATAGGACGTAATATATTTCTCTTCTGGTAAAAATTAGAGAGAAACCTCTCATTATCAACATGTTCTTAAAAAGCGTGCTTATTTCTTAACCAAATTCAATGGATTGCGGTCCGTTTACTTAGATAGAAATCTGTTGTTGTGTGTGCATTCCTTGACTTGGTTCCTACTGCCTGACCCTAAAGATAACTTCGAATGTGCCGTCAATGAAAATAACAATATGAAATTAGAAACTAGCGCAAGTCGTTTACCAAATATTAAAGCGAAAAATTTAACTTGAAGTATACTAAACCAAAGATCAGAAAAGTAAGTTTAAGGTTATGTCCATTTTTCGCGCGCAAATTCTGCAAACAGATAAATATGTAACTTTCATGCACATATCAAAATGTTTTAATAAAAAGTGAACTGTTGGACTATAATCACACCCGACAAAATGATCTTCCTCTGCAAATCGTCGAAAAGTGTCTGGGTGCGTAAAGCTAATTTTTTCTAAATTTCTAACGCTAAGGTATAATACAACTTACATTAAATTTTTATAGAATGCCAACATATCCTACGTTGTCTACTTTACTCTTGTTTTTCGATGTGAAAGGCATCTTTGTAGTGCAACTACAGTTGGAGTGGTATCTCGTAATATTGAAGAAATACGCAACTGGGACATGATCTGCCATGGTTTTTGATTACAATATCGACAATATATGGACGAAATAATCAGTTTCAAATGGTTAAAGTGCGAATAAAAAATTATCGAATTGGTTATTAATCGTATGAGTTGTTTCTGGAAACTTATCAATAATCGAATCGAATTTATTGAAAGTACTCTGGTTAAAATTAAAACCAAATGTTGCAACTTTAAAAGCTCCACAATTTCGCCTTATGTGTTTTTTTTTCCCCACTAATTCTTGTTGCCGAACTTAGATTGTTAAGCAAATATTTACGGCAGTCCACATTCGAAGCTTTAATATTTTACACGGATTTTCTATTAGCTTAAACAAGACATTCTTCTGAATTAAGGATCAGTAATAAGGGGAGACTCATATGCTTACTAATTCCGATACAAATCGAAATTAAACGAAATCACCGAAATTCGAATGTGCACTCACAAGCACATTCCAATGATGTAGTAACTTTATTGTCGGAGACCCCCCGCAAAAAAACCCTTATCTTCTGAACAAAACTTATGATTCTTAAGCGGTCTAATAAATTTATTATAAATTTAGCTGTTTGCATTGCGACTAATTTGAAGATAATCATTTGGCAGAGGCAGCAGTAGCTTTTTAAACAATATAGTCTTGATTTCCGATTTTGACTAAAGCCATTCACATCCTCGCTATATTTATCCGGACAACGTACGCTCCTCGTGATATTCAGATAATGAAAAAGGGTACTGAACATGTTAATGAAACTCACACGTTCGTAAAAGTGGAGATAGAAATCAGAAACTTGAAGACTCATCCCTTCACTTCTCTAACGAATTTTCGCTAATACATGCATTTTGCGAAAACTAGTCAGATCTTTTTGCTGCTCAAAATTATGTGTACTTTCGATCTTTTCTGAGCCTTATAGGCCACATGATAAAGTCATGTAGCTATCTGCAATACCTATAACAGTGTTTTCATACGAACTTGCCTGCCACATGTCAAGTGAATGTAAAAATAGTCCAAATATTTTTAATGATTGGGATATCAGTTCGGCCATTTTGCAACTTTCCTCTGAATTTGATAAATACTTGAATCAAATTTTAAATTGTCATATTTTAAAGACTTTAAAAGGTATGCTTCTAGAATGTAATGGAAAACCATTGTGTTAAGCGCTCATTTAATGAAATTTATCGTCGTCGGGTTCACTTCGGATCGTACTCACAGCAGGTTTAATTTTGTTTATATAGGACTTAGGATCTCTATTTTTCGAAGAGTTCTAGAAGAGGAAAGATTAGGCACATAAATCTTTTCACAAATAATAAATAGATATTAAAAAGTTTGGATTAAACTTTCAACGATTCAAACAAAATATATTTTGGGAACTAAAGAAGGCAAAATTTCTTTCCTTTTTGCCTTCCATAACTGATATGCATCGGTTAAACTTGCCAGTGAGAGAGGGAAAGGGAAATAATTGATTAGAAACGTCCTGAAAGTATTCTTAGTCACGGTATTATATGTAAAAAGGTTTATTAAAAAGTTCTGCAAATCAGTTACCATATGCGTAAATAACATTATTTTATTTTCTTTTTAAAACTCTAACTTAACCCCCCAAAAATTTTCTTGACATTTCTTTAAAATAAAAGAGAAAAAATTCATTCCTCTAAAGTCCACAGAGCTCATCCAAGCAAAACACGAAGCCAAATGCAGATAAAAAAGTACAAATTTTAACTCGAAGCGAATTATAAGCAGCTGTAATCAGCTGTTTTTGCTCGCTGCGGCTTCAGCTCTGCTGCAGTTGACTATTACGTTAGCTGCTTTTTATACATTTGGCGTCTATCTTTTAGTTATTATTTTGCGTTCAACTAGTCGATACTTTATTTTATAAAATTCGTATTAACAGACCATTTAATTTTATTGCCAAAAAAATTGAAAAAAAAGTATTAAGAAGTTTCGTAGAACTATTTTAAAAGCCTTAAATGAATAAAGGGTTGTTCGCTTATATGATTATTAATAATTTGTATTCGTGGGTAGTTGCGTGTGTATTTCATTTAAAAAAGAAATAATAGATAATATAACACGAAGTTCGCATTTGCACATTAGTTTTAAAGTGCCGAACCGACCAGAAAATTTATAACAGAAGAAAAACAAAAATCTTCTGGAATAACTTTCGATAATTTTTGCAAAGAAGATTTTAAATATGCGTACATTCGGCTGTGTGTACCTTTAAGTTGTTTTTTTTTTTGTTAAAACAGGTAAAAAAATGGAGAATGTTTTACATAAGAATTCTTCGGCCATTTTCCGTAATTGTCGTTGCCGCTATTCTCTTCCTTTCTTATTTAGGGGAGAAATTAAGGATAAGAAGAAATATTGCCACATAACGCTTTGTATAATTTATGAAAAATTGTTCTTAAGGGGTTAGTTATTGAAGTTTGTGTGTGTGTGACTTGAAGTAAAACACGAGCATGGCTTTACAATTTTTTTTTTGGAGTTTCACTGACAAATTGCATATATTAAAAGGCATGACTGTTAGAATTTATAGCAATATCTGTAATCATTTTTCTGGGGAAAACGCTTATATTGTGGGAATACCCTTGACTGTTTAAACAGTGATGGTTCAAAGCTACATGTTTCGGTTAGCGAATTTATTTCGCATTTCTAGCTCACTCGGACACTTCTTAGTCTAATAACAATGAAACACTCAGTGAATTGTAATAAAACACTATCAATCAATAAACGGCGGCACTTCAAATTCAAATCATGACCATAATCATTCATTTCCCCACTGGTTCTAGCCTTGGGTATCCAAAATATAAATCATCGTTAGTGTCTTTGCATTAACATTTAGATAAAGTAGCCAATTTGTCGCCGTTGCATACTAGGGACTGTTGTCCCTGATCAAATGTGTAATTTTAAGTGTTCAATCGTTATACGATTTTTGAGACCTGTAAAACACTTCCACCTGGATACATGTCTGAACTAAATTATTTGAGAAATCGGTGTAAAATTCAAGGTGCATCCAACCGAAAGTCGAAAGTTACGAATACTAACGTTCATACTATATTCTAATTACATGCTTTGCTTATTATGAAATATATCGAAACCTCTCACTGCGACATCGATTCTAGTATATCGCTTGAGAAGTGATGATTCTTCTCTGACGTCAACGGTCTCTATTCTTCTTATTAATTTAGCCGGAGAAATAAATTCTAAAACTAAAGTCTTAAAGCACTAGCATCTCAGGCTATTGACTTTAGCGAAAAGCTTACATGTCTCTGAAACAATAAGAACAAAAAGACATACTAGATAGATATCTAGAATATTTGACAAATGATAATCTATTACTCCTTTATATCCATAAACTTAAAGAGTGCTCCACTATGACGCACAGCCAATAATAACAAAAGCAGAGGGTTTCATTTACGAAAGTCGACGCCTTTTGTTGATCTTATTATATTATTATAAAAACTATTTTCATGAGAATTAATGCATTTAATTGTAAAGTCGGCATATAAATTTGAACAACACTTAGTGCAATCCGCTTGGAGTTTTATTGCCCGTTAGCGGGTTGTTAATGAATCAGCGAATTTCCTCCTTTGATCAACAAACTTTTCGAATTCGATATAAACATTTACTTGCAAGCTCCTGCAAATAATGTAAAAAAGACAAATAAAGTCAGGCTTTGACTGAGGCTATTGCTTCGTTCAAGTTTCTTCTGCTGTGAGCTCTGCGCAAGTACTTATCTTTCAACTTGTATTGAAAACTAATGCGAATGCGCATTAACAACAATGCGATGCGCATGTACGAGACCGATGAAATTGCATTATTATAACATTTTTCAACACTCCATGGATAGCCGTAGAAACTAAAAACCCCAGACTCTGCCTTTGATAATTGTGTGTATATACTTTGGCTTCATTTCTTTTATTTATTTAACTTATCTGAACAGAAGTGAAAAGAAAAACCTTGACTTCAACAGATAAATTGATTCTTCTATCACCATTAAACAAAAATATGTACATATATATATATATATACGTTTGAGTGACAAACGTAATTTGCTCTTCAATACAGTAACTATTCCTGAAATAATATTCACTTAGGCAGCAAGAACCTAACACATCTAAGCGCATCCACTTATCCTAAATGAATTATATCATTCATATTGGACGATTTCCCGCAACATGTTCTTCAGTGAAGGAGTAATAAATTTTGAACTGACTATAGAACTAAATGCTATTTGCATTGTGACTCTCGCATTCGCCCACTGGGATTTACGGTGCGAGTGCTCATTTTAGTTAATTTTGTTATTAATATCGGCTTGTCGAATATCATTAAAAATTTTAATTACATTTTAAATGTTCAATAAATACATCTGCGTTTTAATCAAATTTTGAAAGCTCGATAAACTTGCATAGTAAAGCCTGCCACGATAAACCAAAAGTAATTAAAATTTTAATTTAAGCTGGAATAAACAATACAAATTTAGCCATTTTCTCTAAATAATCGGTGATCTCTTTGGAAAAGCGAACGCATTAACAATTAATTTAATCGAATGCAACATATCGCGATTCCCGCAATCCTAGTATTTCACAAACAGTGACTTCGATGTTTTAATTTCGAATGGATCCTGGAAATGTTAAAAGCGCAAGTCCTCGATCGTTTCTTTAATTATAGGTAACAAAAATGTACGCAAATAATTCAAGCGACCAGGCTTTTGTACCACTTTCGTGTCAATGTTGACAATTTCCATTTTTACATCGATAAGTTTACAAGTTTTGATGATAAGGAACATTTACCGAAACTGTAAATATACATTAAATTTTCGGATATAGTCATGAATGAAGTATGATTAGGTTATCTCAATATGTGAAACTTTCTAAGCTTAGAGAAAATTTTAAAAAATGTTTTCATTTTATACGATTTTTTGACTATGTGGGGGCAATACATTGTCGGAATATAAAGTTTTGTAAAATATGAATGTTCATAACGAAAGAGACGAGGCGACTTTCTGTTTTGCTTGTTCTCTTCATTGTTCATTGTAGCCAGATGTTTTTTGAGTCATTTTCTTGGTTTATTTCTATGTTTACTCATAAATAAAAAGTGTTGCCGTGTACGTGAAATCTCAAACTGGTTAACATTAAGTTAAATTTCACGCATACATAGTGTTCATTGATGCAAACAGGGGAATCTATACCTGTCTGCGTTGTTAGATGAGATCGAAATTGACAATTTCTAGATTTGTCTCAAGTTCTTGTTTATATAGATATATATAGCTAAACCTAAAAATGCAGCTCTTAATCTTGTCTGTTAAATGTGTTCGACAGTTTGAGCGTCATCAACTCTATATAAGTTGGACGGGTATGAATAGAAATAGTGTTTCCCCGGTTCGAAATATGTGGTGCATTTTTTTTAAAGTTCATTTCTTCTCTTTACAGGGAAATTTTATAATACGAGGTTGATCTAAGCTTTTCACTAACGAAACAATGACCGAAATGCAGTATGAAGCAAAATTTAAGGAAATGCAAAAGTACTTACCCTTTTTGGAGAAGGTCATCAGTAAATTAAAACTTAGTAATGATGAGCAGCCGGATAATCCTCGTAAAGCACAATTGCAAAAAATGGAAATGTTGCTTGATTTATTAACAAACAAAGGGAAAAGGTAAAAGAATTTAATTTTATAAAATTTAGAAAAATAAATCATTCATTTTTTTTTTTTTTAATTTTAGCCTAAAATTAGAGACTTTGCTAAAATGTGAAAATATTTTAATGAAATTACATTCAAAAATTGAAAAGGTAAGTGACGATGACTGCTAGTATCGTGTGAAGAAATTTATTATATTAAGAAGGAAATATAGGAGCTTTCAGTTCCTTCTTTAAGAGATGGGTGAATATGCATTATTATAATAATGCAAAGTGTTAAACGTTTAGGGCGTTGCTTGCAGCTTGCATTGAATTATTGCAACGTAACCGTGTAGTTCATGAAATACTTATCACATAATTTTATTTTATTTACGTTAATATAACTATTTGCAACTTCCAAATGCAAAATGCGGGAAAGACGAAAACTGACTACCTATAGTGCTGAACAGAGCGTACGCCGTTACATCGTCTATTGCTGCAGTGTAACAAAAGTTATGCTTGGTACATTATATATAGAACTCGGATAAAAAGTCAGCAAGAAACGATGCGGAATTCATAAAGGATTAGTATTTCTAACTTGCCTCTTCTTCTGCAAAATATATAATTTTCAATTTCAAAACTAAGTAAAAGTAGTGAATAGAAAATTTCAATTTTCTTAACAAAAATGAAACTTTGAATTTACTAAAAAAGTTACTAGTGCGAACACTTATTGATTCCTTTTATTTAAATATACCTTTTCTGGTGTCTTGTTTTAGTTTTCTTTTCGTAAGTTTCTTATCTTCCATACATTTTTTTTTCAGTCGCTCCTTTTTTTATAATAGCATTTATTATTTGTTTACTATCGGCATAATTATTTTTGTTCGTCAAGCAAAAACTTGGCATCATTTGTGCGGCTATACGGAATTGAAACAACCCTACATGCAAATGATTCTATATAGAACGGCATTAGTACTGCGAATACTATATAGAATGCGATCAAAACCTCACTTATATGTAAACACGTGCGACCATCGTATATTTTGACATTTGAGCTCGCAACGCATATGTATAACTCGTGTTCAGTTTCGTAGCGGTAGACACAATTCTATTGGAAAACGAACCGAGAAGAATTAGAATTATTCTCGAACAATATTTTTTGCAAAAAAAAACAAGGCTGTTCATTTAAGATTTTTTTCTTTTTTTTTTGGATCATTTTATGCACCAAATATTTAATTAGACACGTACATTGCAGTCTGACGAATCTATCATCTCGGATAAGCTAAGAGGTAACCAGCAAGATGTGTATGATTTGACTGGACCTGAAAGTCCACCGCCACCAGAACAAAATGCTTCAGAAGAGCATACACAACCTGTAGAAATACCTACTGAAAGACGTTGCTCTCCTCTATTAATTAAAGAGAGAAAATCTCATCACTACAATCATCACCACAGTGATCAACACCAACGTTTAAGCATGCATGCAAAACCTTGTAGTTCTCAGTCTCAGCGTCATAATTACTATAATCGTCAAGATCAAGATCATCGTTACAATTTTCAAGAACGAGCGCAGACGAAAAGTAGTCTACATCACTCACCATCAATATCGCAAGCCCAAAGAGAGTCCAATCAGCACCAGCATGATAAACATCGTCATAGGAATATCGATGAATCTGCTAAAATATCATCGCGTTCTTCACAATTTCAAACAAAGTCAGTCGATGAACAATATGTACAAAAAGTGAAAGTCGTCATAACTGAATCGTCACCGCCCGATGATCATCGGCAAGATTCGAAGACTTGTCTTAAACTACCTCAAGACGCTGCCGAGCCTATACAAAAAGTTAAAGTGGTTATAACCGAACCGCCATCGTCTGAAGTAACTCGACAACACTTCCCTTCATTACCCTCTTTTAATAAAGCGGCTCGTTTTACTACGAATAATAATATTGATGTCCTAGAACATTGTCGTAATTCTGCGAATTTGCAAAAATCTGATAACGCTGTAGAAGATAATGAAGCTTATTCTCCGAGGGAATCATGGGATGAATATTCTAGAAAAACCGATAATATAAAGACACAAAATACTCATTGCGAATTACCTCAGAGTGTTCAGAAATTGGTATTTTCTCGTTTAGGAAATAAAATTGAAAATGAAAAGCCTGCTGAATTAAAAGACTCAAGATCGCCTTCCACACATTCAGCCTTACCAAAATCCATACCCGCGCGTGTTACTCCTATACCAGAAGTGTTGAAGAGTCCACCACTTTCGGCTAGTGATATTACTAACCTGTTAAATGAAACATCGGATGATAACATGGACAATAGTCTTTCAGAAATTGGACAAAGAAGACCAAAAAAACCAGATTCATCCCGTTCAGTTAAATATGATACGCCTATAATGACTTCATCATCATTAGACTTTGTGCGCAAGAAGTTTGCATTGATAGCCAAGCTGGAAGGGTCTGATAAAAAAATCCCTTCATCGACTTTAAATCGTTCGACAGATAGTCCAGCAAGCCCGTCGTCTTCTTCGCTGTCCGGAACCCCTACTGAACGCCTGGCTCTTAAATACAATCCTCACCCGCGTTCAGAAAGGGAATGGTCCGTTTCATCGCATGAAAGCTATGGTACTAGCGGTGGAGGGTATTTTCCCAAGACTAGGGACGCACATTCATATGCAAATAACAAATTGCCCACGGTAACAGTTAATAATGTAAATGTTTTGCCTACTATTAATTTAAACGATCCACGTTTGAAGCGAACCAACTCTATCATACCAACGCAGATTTCGCCCACTTTAACAAAATCTCCCCTTTTGTGTAATCAAATTGTAGCAAAGACTATTCCAAAGCCATTCGGCGGATCTCGAAACGATCCCAGGTTAAACGCAGCTGCTTCGCGAACATCTTTGGATCTTCATTCTCTAGGGTTTTCTAAAACTAGTGATATATCTTATCAGTGGGAAAAGAAAGAAACGACATTAGCAACTGGTAAAACAACAACATCTTCCAAAAAACCCAGCAGCAAACCTTCGGATTATAGCTCTGAAGAAAATTGGGATTCTGAACCTGAAATGTCACCAAAAATTAAAGAAAAGAAACTAGTTATGAGCGATAAACAACATCGAACATCGCACAATTCTATGGATGCCGATGAGGAAAATTGGGATTCGGATTCCGATGCTCTTAAAACGGCAAAAGGGAAAGGTTCTTTCCCGCCAAGGACAAGCGACGGGAGACAACAGAGATCAAATCTGGGAGTAAGTAACCAAACGCGGACACAGATAAATTCTGTAAATTATACTGCGGACAATCGTGATTCAGACTCGGAAATTCTCAAAATAGCAAAACCTAAAGGTCCTCAAACTGCAAGGCCCAATAGCTTAACACAACAGCGTTCCCAAATATCTGTACAAAACTTTATGAAAAAGGATGCGCTTCTACCTACACCCAACAATCGTTTCAATGCTGCATTGAACGATAAGACGGAGCGCATGAAATATTTGGAATCAAAGAGGTTTAAGGATAACGAACCCAAAACTTATAAGGAATTTCGCGAAGCTAAAGCAAAAGCTCAAGAAGCGGCTAAAAAGGCTGAAGTTAATATAGTAGGGGAAAAAGCAGATGAGAAGAAATTGAAAGAGGCGGATGTAATCACTCCGCAAAAAAAATCCAACTGAAACAAATCTCTCAAAAGAAGGCAAAGGAGAAAAATCAGATTCGTCAAAGAAAGCTTCATCTTTAAATGATAGTAAAAAGAAAATTCCAGAAAAATCTTGCTCGATTACTGAAACGGCTCTGGATAAAATGTATCGTACTCAGAATTTTTGCAATAAGGAATTCGCTATTAATAAAAACAAATTTAAAATTCCTAAAAAAAAGAGCGAAGAACCAATCAGAAAGTCGGAAACGACGGAATCTGTGCCGTCAGAGAAGGCTAGCGAAAAAGCGACGGGCAAACAGACAAACGTCATGATACCAACGGGAGAAGAGAAGAAAGAGGAAACAGGAGAACAAAGTTGCAAGAGTACTGGTCAAAAATCTCTAATAAAAGCTCTGTCCATTAAAACTCCAAAAATAATCTTAAATTCGGTGAAGCGTTCGGAAGAGGTCAAGAAAAATACAATCAAATCGAAAGAAGATGATTTGTCTATGTCTAAAACGTCGAAAATTAACAACAATTCTAAAGGAAAAGATAAAATAAGTGAAAATTTTTCACTGCCGGCTTCTACTAAGATTCCAGAAGGAGAAACCTCTACGCCAAAAATGAAAGACCAAGAAATTAACAGCAAGGAAATTAATGAATCGCTCAACGTGACGCAGGACTCAAAGCTTAAAACCGATGTCGCAAACGAAACTGAAAATATTCGAATTTCTCCAGCAAAGGTCAAGGAGCAAGAGCATCTACCAACTTCAGAATCAGACAAGAAATTAGAAACAGGACAACGGCATGCAGATGACGTAGATGTACACCAATCGGAATTTAAAAAGCCAGAAGGTTGCTCAAGCGAAGTTGCTTTAAATTCTTCTGATACGACTGTTAACGTAACATCCAAAGAAAGTGTCAAATGCTTCGGAGAAGAATCAACACACTTGTCGCGTTCAGCACTGTTCAATGCTTCACGCATTTTACGGAGACGCTCTACAATGATTTCTTATGGTAGTGCGCCGGAGGTCGATAAGGAGAAACTAAGGGAGTCAAATTCTTTGCTTTTCGAAGATGTGCAAGTGCAGCAATGGCGTAAGGAAAACCTGACATCACAATTGATACGACGTAATCGTAACCTGGAGGGTATTTTTCAGAAAACGGATGACAATTGTACAGTTTCGACTCAAAATATAATAAGTGGGAAACGACGCACTCGAGCCTCCATCAATTTTAACGAGACACAAAACGTTAAAGCAATTTTTAATAAAAAACGTGCAACAGGAGTTATAGAAACTAAAAAGGATAATATAAGCCAAAAAAGTGAAGAATTCAAAAACTTAAAAGATGTGAAAACGGGAGGCAGACGTTCGAAGACGTGTACACCTGATCGACAAAATTTGGAGAAGGGACATGGAGATGCTTTAGAATATACAATTGCTAACAATAAAGAAGCTTCAACACGAGAGAATATTAGAAGTTTAGAAGACGTTAGTAATAATGAGAAAGATCAATTTAGTAAAATTAAAAATAATCCTAAAGGGAATAAAACGAAAACGGTGGCAAATGCAAACAAAGAAGACGTGCAAACTAGATCTGGTCTTAATTATCGCAAGAAAGCGAATTCAGGAGGAGTAATTATTGCTAAAGAAATTAAAACTGAAAAAGAAACGACACACAGCAATTAATCGCACCAGGTAACTCTACAGATAAAGAGCTCGAAAATCAGAATAGTGCTGTATCCAGCACTTCAACGGAACTTCCGTTAAGGGCTGTAGAAAAACAAGAGAAAAAACACTTAATACCTTGTGGAACTGAACAGCCCGATGATAATGAACCCAGCAGCTCAGGTGCAAAATCAACTAATCCTACTCCTACGCCCGTAGACGATGAAACTAATCGCCATGCATTTCTAAATGAGTTCGTTCAAGAAATTTTCAAACCAGACTCTAACAAAGAACACATTCTTAGTTTGCTCAGGCAAATTTTGGATAAAGATAAATTTGAGTTCATTAAAACCGTTATTGAGTCGGCCATCAAAAATCATGAAGAACACTTGCCACAAACCCTACAAGACGATTCCAAACCTGAAAAGCATGATAAAGACGTTGATACTCCTGCTGATTCCAACGTACAACCGAAAACGTTGCCACCAGAAGAAAAAGCCAACAATGAATCAGACTGTGATGAACTAAACGAATTAGAAGACACAAGTCGAAGAAAATGCGCGAAAAAAAAACGTAACGAGTTGGATCGTTTAAACGATGATATTCGAGACATGTTTATTAGCAAAGGTGTACTAACGGCCACCGGTAAACGAATGTGCACTCTAATGGCTCAAACCAAAGAAAAGAAAAACATTACAGACGCAAAAAAGATATCAATAAAAGAAGATGAGCAGAAAATTTGTCCTGTTAAAGAAACGGATGTGAAGACTGCCATAATCAAAAAAGACAAAAGTAGAAAATCTAAGAACATTCAACCTCCTTTGCGGAGATCATTGAGACGATCTAAAATTCATCAGGATAATGAAACCACTATAAGCGACGACGAGGTTCAAGTGTTTTCTTGCTTATGTAGCAGTGACGCAGGGGATGAAACCAACTCTAGTGCAATCACTACAACTTCAATTGTTCAAGAGAATTCACAAAGTCGAAAATTGCCCATATTGATACCTATTATCAAGTTGCGTGGAGAAGATGAGACAATAATGGAGCATATAGAAAAAGAAAGGAAAGACAAGAGAAGCAACGATTTGAAAAATCGTAAATTTCAGGGAAAACTTAGTAAAAGTAAAGGTAATAAGACTGACGATAAAACTGCGGACTCCTCAAAGTCAAATGTGGAATCGAAGGAAGTTGGAGATAATAATCTAAATGAAATGGGGTCCGAAAAATCTGTTACACTAAGTAAACCCTGTCCAAAAAGTAAAAAGCTGAATGCGAGTAAGGGACAAAAGAAGGAACGTAAGAGCCAAACGATAGATGAAATTGCAAAAATAAACCCTGAAGTTGGAAGTATTGAACTCGTGAAAAACACTAACATTAATTGGCATAATCAGTCCAAATATATCAACTGGTGTATGATTTGTTTGAAAAAGCTTCAAGGCGCTCATAGCAGTGCGCTCCACTATAGATTGCATCATTGTGAAAATTATGTATCGCGTTTTGCTCCCATTATTCTACAAAAATTCAAGCAAGGAAAACTAGCGAAACCTTTGTTTGGTATAAAAAGAACGGATAAATCGCCCTCCTGGTTCCATCGCTGCTCGTTCTGTTTGACGTATTTCATAAATACGATGGCTACATGGATAGCCCATTATCAGGAACATACTGCAGAATATAAATATGAGTGTTCAAATTGCTTTAGGGGCAGTCAGAGGATGACCACCATTCGTAAACATGTTGGAAGTTATAAATCATGTAAAGGCGCAAAAGTGCTGAACACTCCACTGAAGTTGACTGAATCAAATTGGCTGAAAGCTCATGTATGCCACTTATGTAATTTTGTGCAACTAAAAAGAAGTAATCTTGAGCGTCACTATCTTCTTCAACATAACTTAAACGAAAAAAATGTCGACTTGCTTGGCTACACTATAACGCTTTTAAATGTCAAGGAGGTAGAGTGCGTAGATGAACTTGAGGCAGCTGCCAGAGAAGCAGACGCTTGGAAGAAAATTAAAGCAGAAGAAGAAATTATTGACATTGATGATGACAATAATTCTGATGTAGAGAAATCATCAATCCAGGAATTACAAACACAACAAGACATAAGTACTGAAAATAGCCTCAAAGACAAGCAAACAATTAAAAAACCGATAGTCTGTGAAACCGAAGTTGATAACATCGTGACTGAAACAGCGATGCAACCGGACAATACACAAAACTGCCCGAAGGATGTAATAAACGCTGCTCCCGAAGTTTTAAAGACATCCAGGACGGACAATGAACAGGACTGGCAAGACGAATTACTATGTTTAGCAGCTAAGGCAGCCGAAAATGTGGAAGCAACTAATAAACAAGAAGAAGTAGAAATTCAAAATAAAAAAGAAACAGAAAAATCGTCAGATTTACTGGAAACAGCTGCCAATGTCGGCATAGGAAAGCAAGACAAAATGGTGAGCCCAAACACCAAGAGAGTTGAAACAGTAAATGAAACTGAAGAACCTTTGAATATACTGAAAACTAGTGTAACTATAACAGATCTTAATCGAACTAGATCGGGCAATAAAAGGCTCTCACCTTCACTTCCAATAACTAAAGAGCCTAAACCTAAAATAACTTGTGTTGAAAGCAAAATATCAAGTTTACGATCCTTGGAATCGTTGGATGTAAATCGACCCGAACCTTCCGTATCGACCGAGCCCAATGCGTCAAATGCGGTAACTACGGTACCATCTCAACAGAGAGCAATTGACAACGCTTTTGTGACCAGTCGTAATAGCACAGATTCTCCTACGATAGACACTGTTACTCTGGCACAAAGCTTTGTTCAACTAGATGATTTAACGTCTCAACCGCCAAGAAACGAGAAACCTACTATTTGTACTTCTATAGCAGAACGCATAAGTCAAATCTTTAAGAATATGAAAGAAACTGATCAAGTTACTACATCAACTTGCCAAATGCGGAGTATTGAAGTTACTAAAAAGACACCTGAAATATTGCCTGATTTGAGAGCTGAGGTTTCGCCATCAGATTCGGCTATGGTGTCCGGTAATGAAGATGATGAAGACTGGGAGGACATTGAAATAACAGAATCAGCTCCTAGTACCTGTACTTCAGCAGTGCAGTGTACTGCTAGTGGTGGTAAAACAAAAAATAAAGGTCTATTTCAAAAATTTATATTCAAAGGAGCCAAGCCCAAAAAGCTTACTCAACCTGTAGTATATTTTGGTAAAAAAAAGAGCACTAAGGACAATAAGGAGACTTTATCTTTATCGCAGGCATGGGCAGTCAAAGAAAAGGAGTCAATTGTTATTAATGCTAGTGGAAGTAGCTGCAATCTAGGTTTTAAACCGGTTATCAATATTATAGATGATCTTTTGCCTGATTCTCCGTGCCATGATCCCATTGAATTAGTCCCCGAGTTGGCTCCGTTAGAACCGTTACAAGATCTTAACGACATTTCCTCAATTTTGGACGCCGATCTTAGCGGTAATGATCAGCCTCTGTGCATTGATACAGGCGATCATCAAACTAGCATTGAAGATGCTTTAGATTTCATAAATGAACAGCAAGCGCAAGAGGAAAAGCAACAGCAACAAGTCACAATTTCAAGTTCCCATAAGACAGTGACGAATCGTATACAACATGTTGGCTATTCGTTGATGACTAATGCAGACAGTAAATTTAAATTTTATTGTTTGCTAGATAATTGTTCCTTCCTGTTCTCTAATGATTCGATGGGTTTGGAAAATCACTATATGCTGGAACATGCTGAAACCCGTTGGAGTGGATATTGCGCTATGTGTCAAACCCAGATTTTAACAGCCAATGAAGATCATCCTATAATAAAAGAAATCCGCCACATGGTAGAAAAACACGCAAAACTTGTGAAAGAGACTGAGAAAGACTTTTTAGCTAACGGCAACAGCAACAGTAATAGTGGAGCAAGTGAAGAAAGACCGCGTATTAAATTAAGAAGGTTAACTGGGGATTGTCTGTCGGCGACAAGTTCAGAAAATTCTCTAAACATTGTAACTGCGAACGTCACAAATGTAAACTCACCCACAAATTCATTATTAGGGGCTTTATTGAATGCCAAGCCTCGCCCACCGACTAAAGAAATGCCTGCACCACCTTTGCTACCCATAACAGAACCTTTGTTAATGGATGACTTGCCACCGCTAGATCCTTTAGTTAACTTGCAGATATCCCAAGTCGTTAGCTTAGGGGCACAACAGCAGCAAAAAGGAATAACTAATACAGCACCACCACCATCATTGCAGACTTCTGCTACTTCTGCCCAGTTGCCAAAAATTATGAATGTTTGCAGTTTAAACACTAAAGCAGGAAGTCTATGGAGCCAACACATTGCTAGAGAACGACAAGATTTGGCTGAGGCTTTGGCGGCTTCCAAAGAAATGACACAAATCTTTATGACGCCAAATCAATCTACCAGAAATCCTGCACCAACTCATACAAATGCGACATCGTCGTCACCAGAACCTATTGTGGTGTCAGAGACAGTACCAGTAGCCCAAGCTCGAGCGGGCGATTTTGTAATAACACAAACCCTATCCGCTCAATACGAGGGTCGTCAAACGCAAGAGCCTCAATTGGGTATAAATATCTCCATTTCCTCTGCTAATCTTAATGCTGAACGAACGCCAGTATCGCCATATTCAGGAACAACCGCAGTGCCACAACAACAGTTGCAACAAGGTTCAAAGCAATTCAAATGTATGGGCAATGGATGCAAATACTTAACGCGAGTCCCTGTGGCTATGAGTGACCATCTGCGCTTTCACGAGAAACGAAATTTAAGTTTGAAGCGTGAGTACTTAAACTGCGGTTTTTGCCAATATAAAGCTGACAGCGTGGACAATTACATGAAGCACGCCGAAGAAGCGCATGCCATCGCCAAAACGGGTGTCAATGGAAGTATCACTGGGATAGGAGAGAAAGATACTGCCTCTACACTAAGCCGTAAAATACAAGACATTTTAAGAAACCAAACGAACTCAAAAAAACGCGACTAACAATAGTAATAGCACCCAACATGTCCAACATACTGCAACTGTAGCCACTGAGAAATCGTCATCCGAGAGCGATGAAGAAATTTTTTTGAAAAAACTATCAGAAACTATAGAAGAAATAGTCGCGCCTACTGGCCTGTCTGGTAAGTTACAAAATAATGCGTTTATACACAACTTTCTAGATTTGTTTTTATAGAAAACAAACTTTATCGCTGCGTACTAAAGGAGTGCTTAACCCCTTTGAGTGAGAGTACCTTTAATCAACACGTTATATATCACACCAGCACGAAGGGCTATGCTAAGGATTTGAAATACTACTATAAATGTCCTCATTGTCCCGTTCAGTATCAGCGACCAGCCGGTTTAAAGGCACATATTAAAATACATGCTCGCAGCCGTTTCTTTTGTTATTTGTGTGATCAAACCGCCTCTAATCCTGGTCAAATGCTGAGGCATTTTACCGAAACTCATTGGCATACGTTGAATATGAATACCACTCTACTGTTGAACTTCACCTACAAGGAAGGCCAAAAACAGGAGTTATCAGCCGAAAATAGTTATTATGTGGTATACACGCAACAATTGGAAGAACGTGACGTCAAAGAATTTGGAAAGAAATTGATAGCTGAATGGCAGCGCAAAAAGGCTACGTCAAAAACTCACTTTAAGTCAACAGAAATTGATTTGCTACCTATACAACCAATATTTCAGAGAGAAATAAATTGTGGTGAGTGTGAGTATCGTACAAAAGTACGTACCAATATGTATCGACATCTGCTAATGCATAAACAAACTGAGGCTGCGGGAAAAACTGGTGCAGCTAATATAGTGAAAGTGGCCAGTGTTGATCCCGTCAATCCTGTACCTTGTCTCAATACCAATGAGAAATTTTTTGATAAGATGACTAACTTGGCTTCATCTTCGGTCTTAGCTCCTCATAGCAAAGAGCCGCATAGTGCTGCTACCCTCACGAAACCTGTTTACAAAATGCCATTTACCTATGTCAATGATTCCAAACGTTACACTTGCGGTGCATTGAGCTGTAAATACCTCACACTTTCTGAAGAAATTTTTCGTTCACATTTAACTACTTTACATTGTAAAATTATGATCTATCGCTGTCCGTTCTGCGAAAATGAAGTGTGTAAACGTGGACTTTCCGTTGAACGTATTATCGCCCATTTAAAGTTTCATGGCCCTGAATTATATCGCTGTGAAGAATGCAATTACTTGCACTATTTACGTTTTTTGGTAGAGCGCCACATTAATGAGAAACATGCTACACAAAAGGTGAATCTTATCAAACATGAACGGGTAAAGGTCGGAGAAGCTGATGGCACCTGCACTTCGACTCTATATACTGGTAAGTGGTTTTGAACTTTGCTGTCGTCGAAGTTTAATATGGAATATATTGCAGTAATTTCAATACAGTATTCTTGAAATATTGCTTTCCGAGATAATTAATTCGTTAACCATAATGGACATTGGATATTATTTTTATTGGCAGGCAATGAGCTATATTTGTGTTATGCAATGTCGGTCAGATAGTAGTGGGGGAAGAGAAGGAGATATGAACTGGACGCAACGCACAAGATGTGTGTTTAAATCTGTAATAGACTTGTTTTTAATGTTATTTTTATTTTTCTTTAATTGTTGCTCGGCTCTTTGGTTTTATATCAAAAACATCAATAGTTTTCTTAATTCTCGAGCATATGCGCCGCACAATGTCAATCCTTCCCTATTTCTTTCTCCCACATCAGTATCGACAGCATCCGCTGAGTGAATGCTTCTTATGTCTTTTATTCCAGTTAGCAGTTACACTGTTCATAAGTACAATGTTCGTACAGATTTTTTGCGTTTTTAAAACAAAGTCCGTTTTTTATCGGATGGTGTGGCTTTTGCTTCCACAATTTTTGAAATCTTAGCTCACTTTCTATATTCAACTTTTGTTTATTTAGGGAAGAAGTACAAAGAGACTCTTGATTTATCAAGTTCCAACACCATCGCAATTCGTCCGCAAAATGCTGAGTCATCGCAACCATCGATATCGACGAAATCTAAACACAAGTGGGTGTGCGATTTGTGTGACCATCGAGCAGTAACCTTAAATCAAATACAAAGCCATTGTTCTGCTGAACATGGCCAAAAGCACCAGTATCAATGTGTTCATTGTACTTTCGGATCAACGCAATTGTCACAAATTTTATACCACATTGATGAAAAGCATAGTGGTAAGACGAGAGAGGCTCGGTATATGTATCATAGGGCAGTCAACTCGCAAGGCGATGAAACTAACGCTGTTGATACTCGGCCACTGTGGCAACGCAACGATCCTACACGGGTGCGTCACATTCGCGGTATTCTTATGGAAGATGAAGAGGAATCGGAAAGAAATCGTCGAAGATTCGTTTCTGCTGAAGATGATGAATTCGATGACGATATTAATAATACATTAGAAGAGGAAGTACTGGTTGATGGAGGGAGTACAGAGATTTTGGACAAATCATTCATGAATTCATTCGAATACGGTTGTCTACACTGCAATTATAAAACGAAAAATTTTGCGGAGCTAAAACAGGAACATTGGTCTCAACAGCATAACTCTGACGAGACTAAGGCTAAGCCTTTCTATTTTCGTTTGCTCAGACGTTTTTCTTGTGCAGAGTGCCGTCAATTTGTTGGCACTCACGAAGAAATGCGAATCCATTTAACAAACGTCCACGGTGCTCGTTATTGTGCTGCAGATGTACAGACACGGTGTTCTGAAGACAAATTGCTATGTGGCTACTGTTCATTCTCTTGTAATACTCCGGATCAGTTGTACAAGCACCACCAACGTAGAAGTCATCAACCGCAGGATTTGCGAATTGAGCATGGCTTACAAATGGCATATCTACTAAAATTAGGAAGCACTGAAAAGTTTCTTCAGTGCTGCATATGTAATGAGATTTTTGCAAATCGTACTATGATTGTAGCTCATGCTAGCGAACGTCATTCGAAAGCAGAGGGTTTCTCATTCCGTGAGTTATCAGAGAAGTTGATTTATTGTTGCGTGTTTTGTCAATATGCTAATGTCTCTGAGGGCGAAGCTTGTCGTCACATGATTGGTCATTATGGTCAATTTAAATGCTGTCATTTTTGCCAAGAGCCACAAAATTCATTCGAAGTGTACATGCAACATTGCTACAGTGAACACCGCGAAGGAATTCGAAAATTTAAAGATATATTTCCGTTTAAGGATATTAGAAAGTTCTTGCTACAGCTTTATATTCTCTTTCCTAATGGTTTGGTGGTCAATAAAAGGAATGTGCTTAAATGTAAATATGGTTCATTAAATATCATACATCAAGTTTATTGCGATCTGTGTAAGACTTCACAACAACCACCCATACCGCGACTATCTTTGGGACGTTTGGTAGCTAAAATGGAGCAAGAACAAAAACCGGCGGTTGAATTGCACGCTAAAGCCATTAAAAAGCGTAGATGTACAATAGCAGTGGATTCTAATGAGACAGCTAAATGGCCTATGTTGAAACCACCCAGCCCAATACAGCGAACAATTTCTACAACTAAATCGATAGAAGAAACTTTATCGGCGGTTAAAGAACAACAACCCAAGAAAATAACGCAAAGACGTTGTACAGTGGCTTTAGGCCAAGAGGAAAATCCCTGGTCTATGCAGGCATCTGCAAGAAAATCGCCATTGACAACAGGAATTTCTACGTTAGATAAGAACTCTACGTTACAAACTAGGAAAGTTACTAAACGTCGTTGTACAATAACGAACGAATGCTGTATAGACCTCAACTCTGACAATTCCAACTGTTCTTCCTCATGCTTAGTAAAAGAAACTCTTGCTACCAAAAAACGCAAACTCTCCGATGCTACGCATACACACCCGCCTAACTCGGATATGGAGCCATTCTCATTTTATGGCAAGCCAGCGAATAACGTGGATTTATCTAAAATCTACACGAAAGCCGCTATAGGTGGCTTAGATACTCCAATAACTATAGATAAGTTTAAATTATTATTCAATATAGATGCTCGTCTCATTTTACATAAATATGATCAAAATTATTGTAATTATAAGCACGTAACGAAGGCATGTCCTGCAAATCAAAAGTTTCGTTATACATGAGTTTAGCGTATGTATACTTAACCTCAATTTGTACTTTTGTAATCTTAAATTTATTAAACATATGCTTTTGTTTGCTTTCCTTTTTAAGATATTTACTCTTATTTAATACGAATTATCTATAAAGTAACTATAATTGCGTATATTATATGTACCATGTTTATTTACGCCTTCGTATATTGTCAGCCACTCGGTGATTTAAATACTCTTTCAATAGTTATTAATAAATTTATTATCATTTCATACAAATGATCGCTCCAAACTGAAAGATCGATTTTTGTAATAGCACCTGTAAACATGTCTTCTACGTTAGTTGAAGTTACATACGCATAACCTCACTTTTTACTTATAGTTTAGTACTTATTACTATTTTCGACTTGTTTAATATTATTTTATAAAGAAAATATTTCAATTATCAGAATTACTTTCCTTTTATTTCCCTTAAATTTGATCATTTTTTATAGTTAAAGTAAGGAATAACCAAACGAATGAAGTAGAGATCGGTGAAGCGAATTTTTGTTAGAAAATCTTGTGAATAAATTTTTATAAAAATATACTATATTAAGTGAAAATCAATAGAGCGATAAAAAAATAACGACATCAAGCGTTAAAAACGAGTTAATAATAAAGTACTTCACGTCCGAAACTCCTGGTACGTGCAAGGACTATATGATAACATTTACATACAATGCGGGCAGAAGGCACCGGCAATGCTTGGTTTAGACAAATTGTGGCTGCATATAATTTTCCAAAAAAGAGTTATCACGGTCTTTATCCCCGTTGCAAGTTATACATAAAATTTCTTACTTTCAAAATTTACCTACAATTTTCAAATATCATGCGTTTTAAACGGAATCCCTTATGTATTTACTTAATTGCATAAAATTAATAAAGTGGTTTTCGAAATCTCTAGGAATACGTTAAGAAATGAAAAGACTATGCTTAAAATAAGCAGATAGAAAGTGAAATAAAAATTTTTTTATTTTTATTTGTTTGTTGTAATGGTCACACGTTCCTGTGCACACAATTTCAGCTCTTAGTCTAAATTATTACGAGAAGTAATTTTCGCAATTTTTAGTACTACGAACCAACAAATTATAGACTAAACATTCTCACAAATATCTGCATAGTAAGGGTTGATGGCTTCACAATGTATATTCGTATATATGATATGGAAATGAAATAATCTCTCTGTGGTAAGTGCAAGTAGTATAAAGTACAGCGCTCTTTAAAATAAACTAAAACCTATAAAATGGAATTTTTGAACTATGTTCTGTGTTCCAATATATGCCCACTTTTGCTTGCAAACTTACGGATCTGCAAGAAAAATTTTTTCTTAAAAAGGGCGTCTTTTAAAGAAACAAGATTAGCGCAATGTAGGAGTTAAGCTCTGCAAGACATAATTGTCTGGTGGGGTTTATTGATGGTAATGATGAGAAAGGCAAATCATGACAGCATCGCATAAGCAACATCTGAGATTTACAGCAATTGGTTTCTCGATATGTGAGACGATCAACAGTTGAAGTTAAATCGAGATGAGCCTTTGTTAAGAGCTATCATGGAGCGTTTTGGATTTTAAATTAATCTGTGATCAACAGATAAGTGAGTGCACAAGTTTTCTTCAATCCCACCTTGAAATTTTGTGAGAACAGACGCTGTTGAGCTGACACATAAAATTGTCTCATATATGTCCGGTGATCCACAGATTTCCGTCTGACGATTTCTAGCTTAAAAGGTCGCGACTGTCGAATTGCTGTGTAACTGGAGGAAATCCGGAAGGTTTAGGCAGGCCTTTCCTGCTGTGTGCCAGCAGGAAAGCGGTATTACCCTGGACATGATACACATATTCACTCTGGATAGATTTTGGTCATATTCAAATGAGAAATAAATACGTTAAATGTTCCCCAGTAACTTTTATTCTAATTCAATTAAAATGACCGAATTACCGAAGTGTTAAGGCATTGGCAACATTTTTATTTTTTAAATAAAACGCTAATGCTTCATGCCTGCTATTAGCATTAGTGAAATGGGAACAACAGAAAATGTCAAAATCCGGCAAATGAATACGAATGTGAGACGAAAAATTAATAATAAAGGAATTGTAAAGAACTGCATAAAAAGAGCAACCATAAAATGTAAAGTCTGAACAGAAGCAAAAGTAAGCATCACAAAGTAAATCGCGTAGAGCATTAAATTAAAAAAAAAAAACATTTATTTTTAATTTTTTTTTTTTTTTTCATTCTCTGCCGAAATTTAATATAACAATAAGTTCTGATAATAACTTCAGCTATAAAGGTGAGCGGAAGTTTTTACGATGATTTTAATATAAACAATAAAACTAAAAAAACAATAAGGTATTTATAGCAAAGTGTATGTATATTTGTATGTGTTTGTTTGTTTTAAAGGAGATTTTCCCGTTTGATTAAGATCGAATAAATGAAAAAAACAACAAAAAAAGTAAATAAATATCGTCGTCTGTAACGTCTTTGCTTTCAATGAATGAATTTTATGAAAAGATTAATATATATTATGCAGTGAATAAAAATGTTTCCACATTTTTCAGTAAATACACTTAAGATAAGAATCAACAAAGCTTAAGACCTAACAGCGGTTTGCGTAAACGGGTGTATACATATGTGCTTACGAATGTCGTCACATATGCACTATCTATTAAATGAACTTGTGTGCCTTTATCAAAAAGAGAAACGTGTAAAAAGTGTTTTTAAAAATTAATTTAACCTAGTTATGTACATTACTCGTTAAATTATTTTAAGTGTTTGTGGAAACTGCGGTAAATTTGTCGATAGTTTCTTAGAAAATATTGTATTTTTAAGACTAATTAATCCTTTAATTTTAATTTAAAAAAGAAAAATTAAAAGAATTTCTTTATATACACATATATAAAATCTATACAATTTGAATTGAATTAATTTCCTTCGTTTTTTATTAGGTAGTTTCGGGGCTAACAAAATGAAATTTCACAAATTACTCTTAAGCATTCCTAATTTTTAAATATAATCTTTTCGAATTATTTTCGTAAGGAATTCGTTTCTTCGCGGGTACATGATCGATCTTTTGAGGCAATTAAGTACGCGTACAGTACGTTCATGTCTCTAAAAGGTGCACAGCGCTGATTAGCCAGCTGCACCAATCGAAAGAAACGATAGTTAACGACGATACACAAAAAGTGCTGAAGTGTACTTGGTCAAATACTGTTACGCTAGAAAATCGGTTTACGGTATCTTTTGCGCACATTGTATACATCTTATATGCCCGCACTATTGAATTAAAAAAATGGCTATTTCATTAGGTTCCATCAGGTTGTACTATACAATATACAGCAGGGGCATAGAAAGAAGAAAAATGTAAGGTGTCAAAGGAATATACGCTCGCATTACGAAATTTTTGAATTCACAAAATGTTCGTAACCACCCTACGGTCGAGACGCTCGTTCCGGCTTTCAAGGAAGTGAAGACGATGTTGCAACTGGATCTTACGACCTGAATATGGTCTATTTATCAATAAAAGACTAATCAAGAACTGCAAAATATCGCTCATCGTCTGCGCATAGTTGCGATAACTTGTACTCAAGCCTCGAAATCTGATTATTCCACCTCATGAGCGTGTTTATTACGGAAGTAATGTCCGTATTATTTTTTTATGCGTCTGAATTTGGAATCGTCACGCGATTTAGCGAGTGGCCGATTGATATTATCGAAAGTTCACACTGCCTCTATGCAGCGTGGGCCGAAGTCCGAAACAAGCCAGATAGAAAATTTGCTATATTCAGCAGCCAACATCACTTTTATATATATCCGATGTTGATGTTGATGTATAACAATTCAAACATAATAAGAGGCGTTGTTTTATTTACACAATTTGTACATATTCTGCAAACACCCGCAAGGTATCTTGTTTGATATTTTATAACAAGAGTAACAAAAGAATTACATTGGATGTAGGGTAATTGAATGATCGGGCTTGTCCAATTTTAACGATTTTATTTGTTAAGCATTTATTTCGTTAGTATTTCAAATTGGTTTTGAGAGATTCATATGGACCTTCATCGAATTTTTTTTTGCAATCCTTTGTCATCGACATTTAAGCGTCGTTGATTATATTCTTTTTCTTAACGTTGCCTGATAATTAATTTATTTGGTGCAATCTTTAATTAAGTACTTTTTTCTTGGGAATTTTAAAAATCCTCGTTTGTATTCAGCTTAGTAGCCAAACATCATTATTTAATGCTGAAGAGGCTCTTTTTATGCATTTGCGTAGCGTTTCCGTAAGCAACTATTTCTGGGAGTGACCCTAAACCGGCCTCTTTTTCTTATTTTATTTCCGAGGCCAAGAGACTGCCAATCAGATTAGATTATGTCTACGATGTATTTAAATTTACCTATTTGTTTAAATTTTATGTTTAAAGTTTTATTTCATATAAGTTTGAGCTACAAGACAGCGTCGATTAAACAATCGAACTAAATTAATAAGAAAATCAATCCCTAGATCAAAACCGTACTTCACTGAAAAGTGTTTTGATTTTACATTCTGTTAAATGATTAATGAATGTTTCATTAATGCTGTTAGAGAGTTTTCGTGCATTAAGGATGTGTATAAAGCAGGGATTTATGAAGAAGCTGTTCATTGGACCCAAAGAGGCCTTGCATCAATTAAACTATTTATGTGTGAAAGGTTAAATGAATTACCTTTCTTAACATAACACAAAAATGTTTAGTTTAATTTTTCAGGCGTGGTCTAGACCTTAAAATACTTTAAGTTTGCCATACCTAGCTTTTTATACCCGTCACCGAAGGATGGGGGATATATTTATTTTGTCAAAACGCGTGCAATGCCCAAAAGGAATCACCAGAGACGCCGCGAACTATATATATTCTTGATCAGTATCAAATTCTAATTGGATTTAAGTATGTCTGTCTGTCCGCCTATGTTATATCTGTTGTAACCATTCTTCTGGCCGTAAAAATTAAGCTATACACTTCAAATCTGCAAAAACATTGGAAGTTCTTGCACGCACGTTGGTGTTGAAAATGGATCAAATAGGTCGAAGGACAGGCCCACAGCAACACGTAAACTGAGAACACCACCGTTTTTTAAAAGGAATGAAAAATTGATTTATTGCTCATGACCCATAAACTATGTATAAAATTTGAAGGCATATTCTATGGGCGGTGCTGTAGCATTTCTGCACAAACATTGAAAAAGTTGACCACGCCTACCCAATATTATAGTGTATCGAAATTTAATTTTTTTTTCAACACCTTTATAACGTGCAGAAACAAGCTTCAAAAGCCTTATAAAATATATAAATTCCTGCTCACTTTAGGATTTGCAATGCACCTAAGTATATCCGCCTATTCGTTTGTCCATCTGTATATTTGCGCAACTTTGTAGTATTTTTGGTGAACAGTTTCCTGTTAGGAAATATCAAGACATCGCTTACAAGTTTGCAAAAAAAAAAATTTGGAATTGATCTAAACTTTTCAAAGACACGCCTAC